ATCCACCAAAATAAAAATTATTTTAAGCTTTTTTTTTTTTGAAGGCTTCTCTGAAATGTTTTGTGAATTGAAAAATGAGACCGGATTTTTACCACCAAGGTTTGGATGTGTCGCAACTTAGAAAGAATTCCAGGGTGTAGTCGTTATTTGAGCTTTACTTTGGGACTTTATAAAATTCAAATGATTTCTAATGTTTTATTGAATGAAATGATGTACTGTAATGGAATGACTCTTATTGAAGGCTGTGTTCAGCCGTGGGTTAAGTGACGTGACATGACTGTAAGATACGCATGAATAAAGAAGGGGCAGATCTAGTTCGGAGGAACTAGTCACAGGTGGCCAAAGGGTGGCATGGAGACTTTAAGCGGTGGCAGAAACATATGCTCATTTAAAAGTACTAGTGTGTAGGATTTAGTGGCATCTAGCGGTGAAGTTGCAGATTGCAACTAACTAAACACTGCTCGCGTCTGTATTTGGCGACCTGGGAATGAGAACAGGACGCTTGCAGGAGAAACTATTTCCTGCATCTGTAGATAAGATAATAAAAACATAACAATTCTTATATTCAGGTGATTATACACTAATGAAAACATACCTAGAAATATTATATTCCATTTCCGCAAATACATCCTCCTAAATACACACTGAACATTTAATTTCAAACAATCACATTTATTAATATTTGCTTGGAAAAACCTTTGAAGGAATATATTTCAAATCATTAGAAATCAATAAATTGTTTTAATTCCCAATTTTAAAATGAACTTAAGCCATTTATCACTTAAATGTGTCCATAACAGATTATGAAATCAGATGTGTTAATTTCCATTTTTTAACATGCTATTTTAAAATTAGTCTGAATTACCACGAAACTGGGGGGGGGGTTAGGCATTTTTCCACCTCTAGATCCACCCCTGGGATGCATTCTTTTGAGTTTTCCTTCCTGGGGCAGATCTAGAGGGGTGACATGCATTCTGCTACCATAAAAAATGCCTGGCCACCCCAGTCTGGTGTCAGATTTAACACCTTCATTTATATTAATGTTAAAAAAAACATGTGAAATTAATTTCATGATATGTTATGGCTACATTTCAGACTATAAGTAATAGGCCTAAGTTCAATGAAAAATGTCTAAAGATTTAGAAATAAAACAGTTTCTTGATTTCCATTGCCACCATTAGATTTGCCACAAGCGAATATTGATATATGTGACTGTTTGCCATTAAATCAGCATAAATTTCTGCCGCCTCTTAAAGTCCCCAGGCCACCCTGTAGCCACCACATGAATATTTTTTGTATATGATCTATTCTAAAATATACTTTGATATTACCCAATCATTGTGTTTCATGTGATCAGCTCATACCATATGTTATATTATGCTCCACCTAAGAAATAAACTCTCCCCTTAAAGACCAAACTACACCCTGACTCATCTTCAGCAGTGCTTTACAAACCTCTGCAGACTGACATTCATCTTTGGGTACCGATAAACAACATAGGAAGCCTCAAAGGGAAGTAAAGATATAAAGTCCTTGAAGGAAAATGCATCAAAAGTGTTTTGCAGAAGTGAAAAATCGATGTTTCTTTTCTCCCTATAGAAGGATTGAAATACCATTTCATGTTATTATGATAACTCGCTTCAGGTCAGAGTTTAGACAGTTTTGAATCTGTCAGAGCATCATGTCAGAGTCCATTTAATATGTTAATGATGCCTGTAGAATAGAGGATAAGATGTATAGTGTGTGATGGTGTAGGATTCCCACTGAAAGGACAACCGCCTGTTGCTGTCCTTGGTGCTCCCTGCGCGCCGGTACCGCGGACAGCTCCCCCCGTCCCCCCTCCACAGGTGAGTGTCTCGCACAGCAGAACAGAGCAAAGCGAAAGCAAACAGAGCTTTTTTATCCTTTTGAGTTTGGAACAATGTGATGTGGCTACATTCAAACAAGCGCTGTTTGGACGCAGCATTTGCCTCATATGCTCTTTTTCCCACCGTAGGCTTTTTGTCCACCCCCCCCACACTTTCTTTCTTGTCTAGTTTTACAGGCTAAAGGGCGCTGCGTTATAGGAGCACGGATAATTGGGGGAAACTCATTCAGCCTTGTCTCTACAAAGGCCTGAAATACACATGTGAATCCAGTGCTACCTGGAGGATAGATCCTCACTATATCTTGGGTGTAATTTGGACAGGAAAGGACTAATTGTACCCAGTGCCACTATACTGAGGAGTGGAGACTTCATCTTCTGTGGTTCTATCCTGGGAGGCCAAAAAACAGGAGACATTACAGGGAGGACAATAAAAAGTATGGAAGATAGTGGAGAAGATAGATAGAAAGAAAGAAAGAAAGA